AGCGGTCCGAGGCAAAGCTGTCGGGTGAACGAGCAGTGCCAACTTGCCCGTTTTGGGGTTTTTTTTAAGGAAAAAAAGGCTCTATTTCCAATCATCACTTCCACCTTCACAGTGTAGCTGCTGAATGAGAACGAAAGCGTTAACGCCACCATGTAGCACCACACTGCATGCACAGCTCCCGAACCACTTTCCAAGGCTGGGTCCATTCCCTTTTTTTTTTTCCCCCCAGTGGGGTACTGAAGCATGGAGAGGTTAATCACAAAACATAAAACAAGAAGCTCACTCCAAGCCACGTGACAAGTCGAGTCAGAGCTCGGGGGAGAGGGCAGTGCCTCCCAGCCCTGCTCCCCACATGCCGTGCCGGCACCGCGGCTTGCCAAGGGGAATGTGGCTGTGCCTCAGCGTAAATAAGCAGCCTGAAGCGTTGAGGGAAGAACAGACAGAGACGTGGTGGAGAAACAGGCGTGGGAACTGAGTTACACCGAGCCCGGGCCTCCTCGTAGCAGCACCATCCCTCGGGATGGCTACGCGGGCAGTGCCAGCCCCACGGCTTTCAGTCGCCATTTTCCAGGCGGCACGAATGAGACACAATTCCCCGCCCTGCTCCGTGCCACGGGACGCGCCGGCCCACTGCCAGCCCAAGCCAGGGAAGTTTCCCAGCAGAGCGGTCCCCTGCCCAGAAGGACAGGGTGCCGTGCAGCAGCCCTGCCAAGGCGCACACACACAACGCTTGCAAAAGCCTGAAGCACAGCAGCTTTGTGGAGTGCGTGACGAAAACCACTCTGCTGAGCACGCTGAGGACGACTGAGCTGCACGCGACCTTTCCCAAAGAGCCTCGGTTTGCATCAGCAGGCACCTTCCTCTAGACGCTCCTTGGGGTTTTATATCAGAAAAAACACAGCCACATCTCATCTAGTATCAGCACAATGTCATGCTTCCAAGGTCGCCGAGCCTTGGATCTGTCATCCCTGGCACATTCAGGAGCAGGGCAGCCAAACGATCAGCTTGAGGGCAGCTGGCGAAGGCTGGCAGAGACTAAAACAGTTCATGGAAGAAAGTAAGAGCATCTCCAGCCCTTGAAAAACTCATCTTCTTGAATCTGAATTCTTTGGTGTAGTAGTCAGTCTGCCTTGGTTGAGCAGCTAGTGCTCCTTGGCATCTCTGTAGTGACAAGAATGTGCTTGCAGCTTTGTTACCGCAAGTTTTGTTCGTCCCCAGAGAGGTAAGTGTGCGCGTTTTACCGTGCTGCAGCTCTGCTGTCCCCTCTGCTCTGCCCCAGCCTCCCAGGGCTGTGAGCCTATGGCCCCAGCAGGATGGCAGAGGGGGGGACGTGGAGGCATGAGGAGAGGATGCCCACGTGCGAAGTGCTCTAACCATGAACAATGGGCACGGGAACCCTCAGCAGCATGACGGCAGCCATTGAAAGAGGAACTAGTCCCAGAGACGGGAGAGAACAAAACCCAGGGGCCTCGGTGGCAGCTGCGGGGGTATCAGAAGCCAGTACTACTGCATTAGCAACCTAGCACCTGAGCAAGCATTTGGCAGAGGTAAAGCAGGAAACCAAACCTGCCCTCAAAAGCCATTTTCCAGAGCGACCAGGCACTTGGGCATAATGGCAAGAACTGAAATGATGCAAGAGGTGATGAGACACTTTCCCCAGGACTCTCCATGGCAGAGGAGAGGAAGACCCTGGAGTTATGCTAGCAGCCTGCAGTGAGGAACTCAAACAGGGCCAGTCATGGTGCAAGAGTTGAAAAACAAATGGGATCAGAACAAAAATCAACACAGGAATCCCAGGCAAGCAGTCCTCAGCTCTTTCCAGAGGGGAAAGAAACAAAAGGTTTCATAGCATTGAGTAATGCCACACAGTGGTTCAGGGCAGTAAGGAGTCTCAGCTCCCATCAAAACTGCAGGTGGAATTTAGCTGGGATGTGGCCAGGCATCATGGTCACTGTCCTCTATCTCTGCCCATAAAGAAATACATCTCCTGACTGCACAGTCAAGGGCAGGTTTGGGGTAGCTCACTGGCAGCACAAGGTCCCATGCAGAACACTGGGGCCAAGAGGGAGATAAACACCAGATATGGGATCACAGATGCCATTGGCTGCAGTGCCTGGGGTCTCTTCACGGTGACATAACCCCCGCATGTGCACAGATACCAGTGGGTTAAGCCACCTCCCAGCAGAGTTGTCCACTCAGGGATTTCAAGCAGCTGTTCCCAGGCACCAGAGCTCACACCAAGGCCACTCCTGCAGTTGGGACAGCTACTCCAGACTCCCCTTTCCTCCTGACAAATCCAGTACGGGGATGAGCCAATGCTGTGTCACTGCATCCTGCTGCATCTCAACCATTCACAATCAATAGCTGGCATCCAGCAGCACACGCTCAGGAAGAGATCGGGAGCCCTGGCTGCTACAGACCAGGGGACACTGACAGGCCACAAGTGGAGAGTTTTTTGGTCATGGACACATTTCTCCCTACTACCACCCCCCCAACAAGCTAAGCCTGCTTCAGGCTGTACAAGGCAGCCCAGCCTGCTGCCTTTTGCAGGGGGGCCCTTCAGAGGGCCGAGGAAGGACAGGAAAATGGGAATGAGGGTAGGACAGGAGGGGCATCACTACAGAGCAATCAACTGACTTGACAGGGGAGCAGCTGCCAAGGAGGTCCCAGGAGCCATCTGCACGTGTAACCATGTGTACTTTGATTCCAGCATGAAAACTGAGCAAAGAGAAGTGGTGGCTGCAGAACCTTCCCTCTCCTCTATCCCTTCCTTCCTCTCCTCAGCAGGCCCCTTCCCGTGAGTCTCTGTCTCTGCACATGTAAGGTGACACCTCGCTGGCCACTAAAGTCGACTAGCTGCACAGCGGGGTGAGTTATCAGGAAAGGCAGCAGCAAGATCCCCATTTGGTGTTTCTCCAGAGGAGCACTTCAGGACTCTGGCTTCTTGGGCCCCTGCAGCAGAGACCTCCTACTGCAACGAAAGCCCAGCGAGAGCTCTGACATCCAGTGCTGAGAAACACTACCGCAACGAGCGGACAATAGTCGGTCCCAGTCCCTTTGTGCAACACTGAGAAAGGAAGCTGGGGATAATCCCTGACCGCTGTCAGCAGGCACTTGTTGCTGGTGGCTTGCGTGTCCCTCCTGGCCTGAGGCAGGCAAGGACACAACCACAGCCTCGGCCGACGAGCAGGTCGGGTTCCCCCACATGTCCAATGCTACCTGAGCTGAAGCTGGCTGAACCAGGTGCTGACAGCACAGTCCACACGCATCACCAGGGAGATCCCCAGCAGGAGGCAGATGCTGCTCACCACGAAGCCCAGCGACTCAAAGAGGAACCTGCAGGCACAGCAGACACAGTAAGGATATCACAGCCAGCATGCCTGCAAAGACAGGCTGCTGCCCTCACTCTCAGCAGACTGATTTTCCTGACAGTGAGAGGCTGGTAGCACCCCGGATCCTAAAACCTGAATTACATTTGCTCCCCAGCAGCTGCTGCCTGCAACCTGGAAGCCAAGCACACCTCTGGTTTAGAAGAAAACACCCAAGTGGGATTTTGAATCCTTCAGAGGCCAAGACCACCCCACACTGGCCAAGACTACTCTACACTCCTACTAGCCCAAAGGTTTGCTAGTTACCACTTCTGGGTTTACCATTTGTGCTCTCCTATCCATACCTTTGGCTCTCTGCCCTGAATATTCTTAGCTTCCAGATGTGTCTCTGTGTGTCCTTGGAAATCAAGATAAGAAGAAATTTTTGTGCTCTAGGTCAAGTCCAGCTTCTGAACTCGAAGCAGAAATTAGTTAAGGACATTTCTACAGCCTTGATCAGGTAAGAATTCATACAAGATCGATCACATAGTCTTTTCCATCATTACTGTCTATGAACATTAGACAAGATGTCAGGGATACAAGCCCTAACCCAGCATCAGAGCAACTCCTGGGACTTACTTTGGGGCAAACACCTTCCAGACCATGAGGTGCCTCCTGAGGATCATAGCTGCACAAACACAGGCCAAAAGCTGTGGGGGAGATCAGGAAAAACAAGTTACAAGTGACTCTGGAGAGATGCCTCTAGGCACTGGGTTCCCATCTGAAGGTGGTACAGCACACACTAGAAATGAACATCCAAAGGAGGATTCCCTTCCATTGTGTCCTTGTCAGGAAACACAAACAGCTTGGGGTACACACAGCCCCTCCCGGGGCCAGGCTGGGACAGCACAGAGGGCTCAAACTATCGCTAACCTGATCTAATATTTCACTAAGAGGGACACTCTTGCTCTCCTGCTGCGGGGCCTGCCCCCTCCCTTGCACTGGTCTGACCACACAGGAGAAAGATTTGAAGGGCTAAACCCCACAAAACTATTTCGCTTCTTTCACGGGATTAAATTCCTGGTGTTTAGCTCCCTACATCACCACAGCACAAGATCAGATGAAAACCAGAGTTGGTGCAAAATAGATAGGCACGGTCGAGAAGAGGGGGAGCAGGATTACAACCCTGTAGCTTCTGAACAGCTGTTGCCACTCTGGGCAGATGGGTATGAAAAGCAGCCTAATCTGTACTGCGGCTTCTGTGCTGCAGCCCTTGCCAAAGCACAGAGCAAACAGCATGGCTGAGAAGAGGACCTGTACAGCTGCTCTTCCACCTGCAACCAGATACATCACCCCTAGGCCTGTCTCTGCCCTGGCTGACCCCTTTGCCTCATCAGAGTGCCCCATGGTTCTCACAGCACAACAGTTTCCTCTTGAACAGCCTTCTCCACACCTGTCTTGCCTCTGCCCGTACCTGTGTCCCAAGGACAAAGAGGTACTTCAGGCCCAGCTGCAGCAGAGCAGTGGAGAACTTCTCTGGCGACTCCCGCAGCCTCATCTCCATCATGTGCTCCTCCACCTCTTGCAGCTCCTCCCGGGGCTCCTTCTTGGGCTTCTTCCTCTGTGAGCTGGGCATCTCACACACAAAGGGCCAAAGCAGGAGCAGAGGGCAGCTGACTACCTCAAGGACAAAGGCATGTGAAGTTACTGGAGCCCAGGAGGTGAGGAGCAGTCTAGGCTCTGCCATCATGCCCTGGACATGCCCAGGAAGCATATACCCCAGCTCCAGTTTGCTGGCTAGGCAAAGCTGCACAGAGGCTGCAGGCCACAGGCAGCTCCATGGCCCCAGAAGGGGACAGCAAGGATGCTGCTCTTCAGCTGGTGTCAGAGCCTTCATCGCCTCGTGCTCAGCCTGCAGGCCTCTAGACAAGGCAAAGCAGTGAGCCATGTCTGCTCAGGCTCTACAGCCCAGGGAGAAATTGATTTACCTGCAAAGAGGATATGGGAGGCAAAGGTGTTGGCGCCCACCAGGACAGCGGGCAGGAGGTTCGTGCTGTGGTCAAGGTGGAAGCCCACAAAGGCTGCATTCCAGTGGATGGCTGGGAAGATGGGCTGGTGGCCTGTGGAATAGAAGAACTGGGAAGCAGCAAGGAGCCAGGAGATGACTGCATACCAGGGCACCGAAAAAGGCTCTGAGAGATAAAAAAAAGAGGGAGAGAGATATCAGCATCGAGGAACAAGACAGACCCATGGTAAAAAAAAGCCTATTGGCTTTTTTTTCAGGTTCCCTTTCCATACTCTCTCTTTTGCGAGCCAGAAACCAGTCAGGCTCCCACCACAGACACAGCGAGGGGCCAGGCATTCCCTCTGCTGCCCGCCCTGCTGCAGGCTCTGTCAGCAGCAGTGAGGTTCAGTGGCTGTTCGCACCCTGGGGAGAAGGGATGGGTGTAGAGCCCCCTTCCCTGACACAAGACACTCCTCCTCCTCCTCCTCCCATGTTGCATCCCTGCTGCCCGCATTTCTCTTCCACTAAAGGACTGAAGCAGCTCTAAAAGAGCTAGGACGATCACCTGAGGATCAGTGCACCACCATTCCCCAAGAGCAGAGGTTGGACCCCACCTCTCCCACTGGAAATAAGGGAAAGTCGCTGCAGGTGAGGCCGAGGTTGCACGTCCAGATGTTCTACTGAGTCCTGACTCACCAGCATCTCCAGCAAGGCCTCTGGCACGTGTGTGGATGTGCAGCAGCACGAAGGCCTCCAGGAACAGGAGCAGGAAGGCAAGACTCAGGCGCTCACTGTGCAGAAGCATCAAGAGGAAGCCCAGCAGGGTGAGCGCTATGACCAGGGCTGCCGAGTACACGCTGCCCAGTCCGTACGCTGCGACAGTGGCCTTGCAGCCGCCTCGCTCCAGGCAGCTCTTCTGAGACTCCTGCATCCTCCTATAGATCTGAGGGATGACGTGGAGGAAGTCAACTTCAGAGCTGGGAACCCCCAGGTAGGGAGTGACGATGGATCCTGCTGACTCCCGCGTGTCCTTTGCGAACACCGTCATAGGATTGCACAGCAGCAGCAGCAGCCCCACGGACGCTAGGCCATAGACAGCCCATGGAAAGGCAACAACTGCTACCTGCACCAGCTCCTGCAGCTTGCCGAGAGAGTCATCAGCGCTGGAGGCAACAGCCCAGTAGCAGGCAATGCAAAGGACCACCAGTGGGAAACCCCAGCGCACAAAGAGCACGAGGGGGTCCGAGCTGTTCAGGTTGCCGTAGTGTCGCAGCCAGCTCCGCACTGCACAGACTAGCCCGGCCAACAAGGCCACACACAAAAGGTAGAAGAGGTTCTTGGCCCGTGTGTTTCTCAGGCTGGCAAGGGGGGAGAGGAAAAGAGAGGGCCGGCACTGAGGGATTTCTTCGCGGCACTGGTGGAAGAAACCAGAGAGGCGCACGCAGACCAGGAGCATGGCCACAAGGCACAGCAGGTACCAGATCTCTCTCCGGTAAGAAGAAAAGCCAAGGAGCTGCTGCTTGGGGCCTTCTGGCACAGTCAGGCGACCGTCCCAGTGGAGCTTCCCTATTAGCAACATCA